CACTGGAGAAAAAGGTGTAATTATGGCCACCAACTTAGTACCTAAACTTGGATTTCCACTCGACTATGAACCTATAAAACCCAACATAACAATACATGGAAATACATTACCTGATTTAGTTCCCTATAAAGAGTTGTGTATCCATCTTGATCAAATAAGCACAACAAATAATATTCAACTAGAAAGTCCTTCAACTCTGCTCAGATCTATTCCAGTGAAAAATGAAAAATATAATAGCGGTGAACGGAATCTTTCTCACCTTTACAATATAAAAAATTAAAGCGGGTATTATTTCAGACCTCAAAATTTCTATATTAGATGTAAAACACTAACCTGTACATATAGGATACTTAAGGGTAACACTCCATATTATAAATAATGGTTGATGCATCAGGCCCTGGAACGCTCAGACAATTTAATACAATTGCGCTTTCCGATCTCGGAGACACGGAAGGATTCGATAAACCCGGTAACAATGGTAAGTTTCTACGCTTTACACTTACACGATAATGTATACAAGCGGAAAGAAGTTACATTCACAGGTAATCTAGAAGATTTAAGCGATGTCGACGTTAGTAGACTCATTAAAAACACTTCGTACAATATTATTCGCAACGACAATAATAAATGGACTATGGTCGACGCAAACATCGAGTGGCTACTGAATATCGTCATTACCCCACCTTATGTGATGATGGGTAAGGGACATAATTTAACTAAGATAATAAATAGTGGCATCGTACTCGCGGCTTATATCCCATCAAACCAAAAAAGTGTGTTAGTCACCCCCCTGCCAGAAAACCCAGGTCATATGTTATATAGTCGTCCGGCAATCCAAAATGTTACTTTAAATTTGGTTACAGAATTTGATGATATTAAACAGAACTTGAGTGCAATACCTAATATTTCCACGCTTATTATTGAAGTCTTGTTTGGAGATGTACCGGAAGATACCTTCGAAATATTACCAGGTCTATCGATTAAATGGCTCAAGAAACACGAGCGTCGACGTTGTAGTATTATTCATATCGGAGCATCGCCCGTTGCAACGCTCGAGGGGGTTCAAATTATTAAAAGTGGTAGTATTTCTCTTACTAAGATATTCTTGCCGTATAATATACATTTGATAAGGTTGATGTATAGTCTCAAAACGTTTAAGCAAGACCAATTAAAGACTATTATATGATCGTAATATACACTATGAGTTTATATCCAGCGCTCGATGAAGCAATTGAAAAGATGGAAACTGTTGATGGATTTCGATTACATCAAATAAGCGACATAAAACATCGAATAGAGAAGGATAGGGAGTTGAGACTTGGATTGTATAAAAAGTATTGCAGAGCCGTGAATGCTCTGGACGGAGTTGACACCGCGCTTGTAGTAGCTGGCATGGGACTCGGTGTAGCCGGTGTCGGTTTATTATCAACTATAATCGCCGCGCCTATCGTGCTCGGCATGGAAATAGCCGCTGGAGTCTCGGGACTGGCAGGAATAGCGATAAAATTCATTTCTCGTAGGTTACAAAAGAAAGCATTAAAACACGATAGTATTCGAATACTGGCCGAAGCAAAGTTGAACAGCATTGAGGATCATATTTCGACAGCAATGGTCGATTGTAAGATAACCGAGGATGAGTTTCGTTTAGTGTTGTCAGAACTCACCAAATACAACGCAATGAAGCAGGAGATTCAATCAAAATCTCATGAGACCAGTGGTATAAGCGAAGACGAGAAAAAAAAGTTCATAGAACAGGGGAGGCAACAAGGCGTCAATTATTCCGTGCCAAAACCAAAGAACTGATTGGAGATTAAAAATAGATTGCTTACTATCGTTTGATCACATTTAGACAAATGCTTACATACATATATATAATAATGGAGATCGAAAAAAACAATTAAATGGAGAGAATTACCACAAGGTTTTTATTATATCAGTGATGTCAAACCAACCAAATATGGTTATCAATTGTTTCTTATCAATTTACAAGAAGAGTGTAGTTATATAGTCTGGTCTCTTAGTAAAATGAACGAAGAACTTAATAAAAATGTTGAATGTCGCTTTATTGATAAAAATAATGAAGAATATTTTTATTACCATTTAGGCTCATCTAAAGCATTGATTGGCCCCAGGTATTGGTGAGCTAGAGCCAATTTAACTTAATCTCATGACTATCATTGAATCGCATAATCATTTTGGCATAAAAAATGCCACCTGTAGTAGCGGTATAGGTATATGAATCCGGCTCCAGTGGAAGTAGTCCAGAACCCCCATTACCTATACTACTTTATGTCTTGTCCCAGAAAGGTGCCCCACAGAGTGTTGAGTTAAATAACTCAGGTGTTAATTGGTCGCAGTCGATTTAATTGGCTGTATATGCATCTTGTCTGTATCTTGTCAAAGTGTTGTTTCAGCTACCCTCATTTTATTACTGTGATACAGTTGCTTAGCTGAGCCGCTTGTGTATTTGCTGTGATATATTTAATTAGTGATCTGTGTCATTGCAGATTGGGCTTATTTGACCCTTTTATTGTCATCTATTGGTACCAGTAGTTGTTAGTAATAAACCTGTTGACCTATCACCAGGGGCCCGGAAAATTTAAAATCCAAATTGGACATTTGCATTTAGGCCACGCCCCCTTCAAATAGCGCAATTTTTGTACGACTTTTCACACACATTACAAGTTGTTACGTACAGTGTTCCTTCGTTATTGCACGCTTCGGTTATAGCACGCGGTAAAGCATGACTCCCAAAATTTACTAACATTTTAAATAAACTCAAGTTTTCCAATGACTCGATGTTTTCCCCCATCTCAGAAAACATTATCAGCTGAACCTAACATTGGAAATACCAGTCAACAAATCCGAACTGAAGTACGCAATTTAATCCTATCATTATAATATCTGGAAATAAAAAAATATTGTTCATTGTTTATCTGGACTAGAGTTTGCATATATATTTGATTAATTTTATTCTATTTTTCATTCAATAATTATAATAATGTTTACAATAATTTCGGCAAAATTGTGTGCGAAGTGATCGGTAGATCGCACAACTCACCGTTATTTACAGCAACCACGGTCAGGTTACCGCTACTGGCGCCTTGAAACGAACTTTAGTTGCAAGAGAATTGATACACATATCATGAATGCCGTACCATGACTCACTAAAAGTCATATTTGAGGCAGTTTGACTATTAAATGTCAACATAACGTTTTTCGCAATCGAAATATATGTAGCGCAGGAAGTGACTAGTCCCTACGGTGACTGGTCAAAATCGTTCCATACATCAAAAAATATCCTGCATACCATCTGTACCAAAGTGCTACACTTATGGTTCTTATAATTCTAAGTATATATGGTGGAAACTGCAGCTAAAATAACACCATATTGGAATATATTAGTCCTGTTAAAATAATAATTTCAGATGCAATTTCTTCTGACCATTGCATCAAAATTCTTTGAAGTTGTATCATTGGCTACGTTTTAACTGAATCACCGGTAGATTGGGAGGAAACATGTGCACAGCTGATTGCTATTTCCGGCTTAGTTTACGATAAAATACACACGGTAATCTTAATCTCTGCATATAAAACAATGCCTTGGAGAGCAGGAAATACATTTTAAGTGGTAAATCATCATGTCTAGTGAAGTTTTATATCAAATTTCATTCTTTTATTGACCAAGTTTGTTATACCTGTTTATTCACCTGAATTCACTGAAGGGATACGATAACGCTCATCAATTATTTGGACCCCGAAGGTAGCGTTGTTTGTTTTTTAAAATGTCCGGACAGAAATATTTAAATGTCCGGTAAGCAATAATTTAAACCGGACATTTGAGATTCCCAATCGGACATGTCCGGCGCATATGACCGTTTCCGGACCCCTGCCTATCACGCTTTCAATATTAATTTATTCTTGTTTAATGACACCCCTGATCATTGGAACACAGCTCCGTGACATTCACAATGACAAGAGACTATTCATGTAGTTGTATAATTATGCATGTGATCAGTTGTTGGAAATGATAGTTGTTTTTGTTTTTGTTGCATGTTGTAGTTGTAACCACCTTTTTAATAATCTATCCTAAAGAAAGCTGATATTGTAATAGGCGCCTGTAAAAAAAAAAAGCCTGTAAAAGGTGTCCAGTGACAGAAGAGCTATAAAAATAGTTGACAAAAGGTCTGATGTTTTACTGGGGTGCTTTGCGTTGTGTTCTCTTCTCCATGTGCAGTATTTTAGTCTTTATGTTCTAGGGGGCTCATGACCGGGTTACCAATTCTAATTGTAGATAAAGCACAGAGTGAAGTTGGATTTAAAGTTTATTTAACAAATAACAACAGGGGCAAAATCCTTCTTCACTTAATTATAACCTTCGTAATTTTCTCCTTTCCCTACCTACGTAACCCAATTCAACCTTCTTTCTTAAACTTCTTCTTTTGACCACCCCTCTAACTTAACTCCCGAAAGTAAAACGTCTCCAAAAAACAAACCTATTCCAGCGCTACTCTATTTTTCCCCCACGTGAGCGACGACTGACGATTCCCTTCCCAGGGTAGGCTTATAAAGCCAACACACGGACCATGTGACCAGGAAAACGGACACAACCAATGAACACACTCCTTACATCTCGGCTCTCCCAATCATGGCTTCCGCCTAACCAAGCATACAAAGAGAGTGGCATCGTCACATCTTCCCAGCCACTAAGCCCGCGTGGGCATAAGCGGCTACAAAAAGGACTACAAAGATAGGTACTACGTCAGCCGTTCAACTCCCCTTAAACTAACCCACCCACTAAGTTCCTAAATATATCCATTTACCCACAATAATCCCCTGCCGACCACAATATATCAAACCTACACCATTCAAGAGCTTCCTATGACAGACAGATTGAGTTGTAAGTGCCCTCTCTGGGTCCTCACTGATGTTGAATACAGAGTTTTAGTGACAGTTGTAATGTGGTATATTTGTGTGTAATTTGTGATGTCTGTTTTCAGGCTGCAGTACGCTCATCCCGGGCTGCCATGTATTCCTGTGAGTGCTCGCAGTGAGTGTCAGCTCCAGCACCTACACAGGGCAGGAGTCATCGACTACGCTTGCCGCAGTAACTCCTTCGCGGTCTGTGGCTTGGACGTTACAGAGGGGCACAGACTCACACTGCAGCATGTCCAGGAGAATGTGTTAGATGTGTGAGTATGTACTACTTGTCAACCCTACCAACACACTCAGTCAACCCTACCAACACACTCCGTCAACCCTACCAACACACCCTGTCAACCCTACCAACACACTCAGTCAACCCTACCAACACACTCCGTCAACCCTACCAACACACCCTGTCAACCCTACCAACACACCCTGTCAATCCAACCAAGACAATAAGTCAACCCTATCAACACACGATGTCAACCCTACCAACACACCCTGTCAACCCAACCAACACACCCAGTCAACCCTACCAACACACCCAGTCAACACACCTAGGCAACCCTATCAACACACCCTGTCAACCCTACCAACACACCCTGTCAACCCTATCAACAGACCCAGTCAACACACTCAGTCAACCCTACCAACACACCCTGTCAACCCTACCAACACACCCTGTCAACCCTATCAACAGACCCAGTCAACACACTCAGTCAACCCTACCAACACACTCAGTCAACCCTACCAACACACCCAGTCAACCCTACCAACACACCCAGTCAACCCTACCAACACACTCAGTCAACCCTACCAACACACCCTGTCAACCCTATCAACACACCCAGTCAACCCTATCAACAGACCCTACCAACACACCCTGTCAACCTTACCAACACACCCAGTCAACCCTACCAACACACCCAGTCAACCCTACCAACACACCCTGTCAACCCTATCAACACACCCAGTCAACCCTACCAACACACCCAGTCAACCCTACCAACACACCCAGTCAACCCTACCAACACACCCAGTCAACCCTACCAACACACTCAGTCAACCCTACCAACAGACCCAGTCAACCCTACCAACACACCAACACACCCTCTCAATCTAACCAACACACTCAGTCAATCCTACCAACACACCCTGTCAATCCAACCAACACACTCAGTCAACCTATCAGTCAGCCTGTTGTTTTGGTGACAAAACAGTGAGTTGTGTCATGAACAATGGATGAACATATAGTATGGTTGTAGATTATTCGTTCTGACCTATTCTGTCAGGAGTATTTTATTGAATAGATAACACAATAATCAACATTGATTTTGTTGTTGCTCACAGCTATGGTTCCACCAATGTCCACCAAGCCTTGTGTAAGGCTGTCAGTCTCAAGCAACCAACATACGCCTTCCCAGTGCAGTGTCTGGACACGCTACGCTCAATAGGCAAAGGTCACAGTGTTGGGGAAGGTGTGATACTGAGAGACTGTATCTCCCTGAAGCCAGGCACAACAGTTGACCAACTGCACGTCATCATGTTGCATTATCCAGTCAACCTTCTCACTGGGGACTTTGTCCGAGCAGAGGTATGTTTATTACCATCAGTGTTTTGGATGATCACTACGCCCTACACATAAGCCAGGGGCATTATATTTACACCTCCATTCTGTTCTTTCCAACTTAGGGGGCACAGGTGGCCCAGTCGTCTAAGGGGCCGCGATTCGCTGTGCAGAGTTGCGTCCCTTGGGCACGCCAGAAACCTATGATTGTGGGTTCGAATCCCGGTTCGCCCCGTTTATGTTTCTAGGTTTGTCAGCACCATACCCGTGCTCGTGGGTTTCACCGAAGTGGTAAACGTCTGAGACCTGCATCACTTCAGGCTTTCCTCCCACATTAAGCTGACACGCCGTGATATAACTGGAATACTGTTAAAAGCGGCGTTAAACCCAACTCACTCACTCACTCACTTTCCAACTTATTTTTTTGCAACAATAGTCCTCATAGTTCCACCAAGTAGACCAGAAAAAGTCAAACTTCCTTTCATCAGCATGATCAATTATGGCCGATGCTGATCCCTAATACCGGTACTTTCTTATAATCTTAAATCAGTATTATCTTCAAGTTTTAACTGGATCACTATAATATTCTTTAAAAAACTAAAAGTAAAGAATACCTTTCTTTTTATTCTAAACCCCATTTTTGTGGTACAGATACTACAAAAATGGTATAGTTTCTGAGAATATTATGCTTTAACATTGTGTACAATTGAAGAACATCTTGATAAAATATGTATTTCTTTGGTAATGGGTGATCTTTTTCTATTTATGTCCCCTTCACTAACCTGCTAGGTGTACTGACCCAGCCGGTCCAACAACGCTCCAACTTTCAGTCGTCTAGACGTGGGCTTTTTTTTGGTCCCGCGTAATCACCAGAACCCAATTAGCGCCAGCGACCCAACAAACTGAGATTCTGACCAGCGGAGGGGCCAACTGGAAAACCCCTTGAATCCTCGCATTTGATTGGATGATGTTTACTACAGCCTTTCATTTTTCAAATTCATCTGCTTGTGTAAATGTGTATATACAATTATGTAGGTTGGTATACAGAAAATATGTGTACCACTACCTTCTTGTCACCAATTTTTCATGGAATAACTCACAGCCTGGGTATTTGTCGTCGTTCACTTGATGTTCAGTTAATGACTTTATTACAGGTATAATTAGTAAGGTTGGAACGATACACCGATATTCCGATGCCATTGATACTTGCACCACAATACAATACACGATACACATGGGCCTATATATCAATATGGAATGCAAAAGTACAGTGTTCCCTCGCTACTGCACCCTTCAATAAAGCGCTAACTCTGTTGTAGCGGGCAGTAACGCCTGGCTCCCAAAACTAACTTACACTTTTAATAAAAAAAAATTAAAAATCATTATCAGCTGATCACAGAGAGCAGGTAACACTGGAAATAGCAGTCAACAAATCCGAACTGAAGTACGCAGTTCAATCCCATTATTATACCGTCTGGTCATAAAAACGTGTTCATTCTATATCTGGACTATTTGTAATATATTTTGTTAATTTTATTCAAATATTCAATAGCAATCACCTGTTTCAAAGTGCTACGCTTGTGGTTCTTGTTATTTTAAATATATATCCTAAAAGCTGCAACTAAAGTAACACGATATTGGAATATATTAGTCCTGATAAAACAATAATTTCAGATACAATATCTACCGACCATTGCATCAAAATTCTTTGAAGTTGTATCATTGGGTACTTTTTAACTGAATCACCGGTAGATTCGGAGAAAACGTGTGTACAGCTGATTGCTATTTCCGGCTTAGTTTATGAGAATATACACATGGTAATCTTTATATCTGCATATAAAACAATGCTTAGCAGAACAGGAAATACAATTTATATGGTAAATCATCATGTTTAGTGACACTGATAGGTGTCGCTTCACGCTGCGAGAATAGCACCGAACACAAGTCAAACCAGGCGAAATTCCATAATAAGCAAATTTTGAATCTGAGAAGAAAATATTCATCCATATCTCAAGACGTTCAAACTTGGAGTGTTGTTTCCATTTAAACTAACCACGCATGTGGCATTGGCTATAGGAACGGTACATGCTGCTGTCACACCTACAGATGGTAAAGCAGTGCAGCCTTCACCATTATCAATAAGCTGGTGTAAGGGCAGTAAATCTGGCAGCCTAGTCAATGATATATCTGTATTGTCAGGTCCTGTAAAAGATGTTCCCTGATTCAGTGATACATGATGAATGACCATGAGTGCTTATATGGTCTTATCCTTTATGTTTGAATTCCACACTTTTAAACCCAAAATATATTTTAATTGTCTACATAAATAAAAATGAAATATGTTTCAGTTGTATACATTTGTTTGTTGTTTAATGCCGCACTCAGCAATATTCCAGCTATATGTTGGCAGTCTGTAAATAATTGAGTCTGGACCAGACAATCCAGTGATTGGTATCATGAGCATCAATCAACGCAATTGGGATCGATGACATACATCAACCAAGTAAGCGAGTCTGACCACCGATCCCGTTAGCTGCCTCTTACGACAATCATAGTCACCTTTTACGGCAAGTATGGGTTGCTGAAGACATATTTTAACCCAGATCTTCATGGGTGCAATTGAATGCATATCCATAGGTGTGTCGCATTATCAGATTCCTCCATATGCATGTATTTCAGAAGATTCACTTTTTATCCCCTCAGTTTGAAAAACAGGGAAATATAGCGATCACCCTGTCCATCCGTCTGCTGTCCGTTTTCCGTTTCTGGAGCAGAACTCCAAAACTGTTTCGATATTTCTTGTTAAAACCTTCTACATAGCCTAGATCAGTCTCATGGGGAACAGGTGCCTTTTGACAATTTGGGATTTTTATCCTTTTTTTATTATCTGTTTCATGATGAAAACAAGTTGTTTTCTGTTTCCAGAGCAGTGCTCTTAAACTTTTTTTCTTCACTGTACTGAATGTATCCAATGGCAATGACAGAAAAGTGGGGTATAAGTAGCCAAACTCCATTTCCGAACTGCACCAGACAGGGGGGATATATCATCTCCTGATGACTCTTTTTGGTTTTTTATTTAGGTCATAGGTCATGTACTTTGGCTACCAAATTGGATTTTATGGTTTTTCATGTTCATTTTAAGCTCTCTTAGGGTACGTCTTTCAAAATTATTCTCCTCTAAAACTGTCCAACACATGCAAACTTTCCATTGTTTTCCTTGGTGTGCATGAGATAGCCTAGGCCTGGTTGACGCCAGAACCTTCATCCTTTTGACCATAGAACAAAGGATAAAGCAGCTACAGTCTCATAGAGAACTCCTTCTTCTGCCCATCATATCTATGGTTTCTTTCTTTTATCCGTTGAACTGTCAAAAATTGGTGGTTAAAGTTCTCAAATAGACTGTTTTTTATCCATCTGTAACTCAGAAACGAGTGGTCTGATTTTGTCCAATTTGTATGTGTATGTAGACTATGATTGTTGAGAGTACTAGGAAATTCTCAAAACTAAGACGAAGCAATTAAAACAGAATTCAATGAAAACAACATATTCTAATATATTGCTCCTCAACCGCTCATTCTTACAACTGTCAAACTTCACAATTGTTTAGTATTATCAGATGCTATTTTGGATTCAAGAGATCAGTGGGCATTTTACATTATTCAGGGTACATTTCCATACATGCTACACCAAACATTTCCTGTTTCTGCAGTCTGTTCCAGGCTTGTATGGAGGTTTCCCAGCTCAAATACACAGTTTTTTTCATCAACTGTCACTCAAGAGCCAGTGGTCTGATTTTGTCCAATTGTCCACAATGTAGTAGACTGAATATCCAGTGCATACGAAAAATCCACACATCTAAGTTTAAAGGCTGAAGGCTATTGATCAAAAAAACTATTTCATTTAAAGCAACATAGTGACCCTGAACGGGTCATCAAATGCCAATCTTTTCTTGTTCTATGACTTAAAGTCATAGGTGACATGGTTCAGCATATGTTTTGATTAATTGTTTCCAAAGTAGGATTCGTTTGCAGACACCACTGGAACATAGTGAAAGATATAACAGTGAAAATTAGTGAAAATGACTTTTTATTTTTGTGTCTCTGGTCCTCCGACTGCAGAGGCAGTGAACCTTGTGTTGATATTTATATTTTTACGCTTCTCTTGACACAAAAATATAATACATATGGATGAATGTGACATACTGCTAATCAAGTACCATTACCACCAACAACTTTGTTGTTAACTGAGTTAAAACATTTGACTTTAAAGTTTATGATTCTCATGCAGTAAGAAAGTGGTTTCCAAACCAGGAATCACATAATACAAATCCTTAAAGTACTAATAGTAGGTTTGTTCTAAACTGAGCTAGAGCTATGGTACTTTCTGGTTCTAGGGTCTTTCAAAGTAAACATGTTTTGTTCCGAAACCAGAAGTGCTTATTTTTTTTAAAAACCTCTTGATGGCATTTGTTTATTCTGGTTCACTGGCAGAAGGCATCTGTTGACTTGCCCTAAGAAGACTAGACTTACTAATACCTTAAGGCTATCTAACTGAGCTAAAATGAAGAACAACAGTTCATTACTTTTGTTTTCTGATCAACCAAAGATGAGACCATGCAACGGGACATCCATGTATGTCATTGTATGATACTGCAGAAAGGAGTGGCCTACATGGCTCATGCTACTTGCAGCTTCATTGTTATGCTTTTTCTCCTCTACTTCAATAAATATCTACATTGCACAATGTCAAAATATGAAATAAAAATTGTTTTTGTCTTTGTATTTTTGTGCATATATATTGCATTACACATGCATGACTTTTGAGGAATCATTATCAGTATGATCTGTTTTTCTTTTTAATATAGCATTTAGATGTATCTACATGGACAGAATGCCTTGACCTTGTTTTCTGACATTGAAAAGGCTTGGAAAAAAAGTTATTCATGGCATTTTACCCCTTACCTTCCACCGTGTCAATTTGTGTTTTAGTTGCTGACTGAGCAAATGTTGTTATTCTAAAATAACAAATACTACAAAACATGGGCTAGTTTTGGATATTCAGTAGTAAATGACAGTCTTGATAAAAAGATCCCCAATCCCATGTCATGAACAAATCCAAGTCACGTTATCACTTCATTTAGTTTTAGTTCTTCAGGCCATGTGATTCCTGAAAAGATAATTTAAAAAGATTTTTCAAAATTGTGTGAAATTATGCAAATGATTGAAGCATCGTCTCCAATTTGATAGCTCTCTCAGTCAAGATCTGACAAACTCTGTAAAGGTCACATCAGATAAACCCTGACTGAACTTTGCCCAATCAAAATGAAGGACACTTGGGTTTGTGAGCCAATCAGATGTCAGCTGTTTTAAATTATTCAGCTTCAGTTCTTTGCCACCATGGTACCAGATTCAGAAATCTTTGTATAAAAAAAAACTCATACAAAATGTCAATGTTCCCTTGCTAAGCCCTTTTGGGTTTCAGGTGCAACAGAGTGTAAATTATTAACAACATATATAGCACAACAGTATTATTCTACATTAGGAACTGCCCATTTACATTTGTTTTTGCAATACGGAAATCAGATATGCTGCTCACAATCAAGCCTCCACTATGATTGACTGATTACAAAAGTCATCTGATGTGATCGAATCGGAGTAAAATATTTGATTTTAATCAGGTAGACTCTGTGTCTTGTGAGGAATCTCTTTTTAAACTAGTTGAAAGAATTGGTCTGTTTCATAAATTCTACATATGTATCTGAATAACAGCTTGTTTTTAAATTTGGTGCGATGCTTTTATCAACAGAGATTATTGAAGGCTGTGCCCAGGAGGTTAAAGTACGGTAAAATTATTGTCCACCTGTGTGATGTGTAATTCATATCTAACTCGATGTAACTATCATCAACCAGTGTTTTAAGTCAACTCATTGCTAGTATTGTGACCAACTACCAGTAGCGAAGGTGATGACATAAATCCTGCTGGGGTATTGTGCTGGAAGCTGAGACACAGTAAGTCCCCATGATCCACAGCAAGGTGGCCTAGCATTGGTTGCTGGTGGTTTATAGCCTGTGTTTTAAACAGTTGTAAATAGCAGTGTTATGCTAAAACATGTTTGAGAAATTTGCTTTTAAATAAAACTTTGATGTCTAATTATGACATGCTTGTAGATATTAAAACTTGTTCTCCCCAGACAATAAACAGTGAAGGAAAGAAGAGGCCAGTGAAGAAGGATGAGAAGATCGGGGACAGCAACCATATTATTAAGATAATGACCACAAGAAGAAGTGCACTTTCCTGATATTTGTTCTATCTGATATATCTATGTATATATTAAATCTAATCTTCTTAACTCTGACATATAATTATGTCATCAATTTGTATCAGTTTCATATATGTTGCAGATGTGTGATATAACTAATACTGTTCAAAGGGGCATCAAACCAAACTCACTCACTCACTCACTCACCTACTCATTCATGTATGCTGCACAAAGTTAAGTGATTCCCAATTTTCTAAAGATGAAACCTGACCAGTTTTCCATAAAGGTTTCTATTATACATGTATTTTGATAGGGAATTGGGGAAAGGAAAATATGGCAAATACATACATGTATGTGCTGGTGGGAATAGGAATCAAGATGCCGTGTGAATACTACAAACGTTAAAAACTTGGTTCGCTAAATTTGCAGTTGATACACACGTTTGATGATGTGACACAGAGACATCCTACCCTGAGTGGTCAATCTTGGTGGCCACTATCATTCAGTCTTTCATGTAACCTGTCTACATCTTCTGCGACTTCAGACAGTTGTGATATTGTGATGTCTTGAAGATTGACTACAAACATTTTCAGACATTGATTTCTGTCTGCCCATAGTTGTCACCTGTACATTAAGGACTTTTTTCCATCTCACAGTATGAAACAATGACACAGCAAAGTTTCCTACTGATGGGCCTGATACATTTGTGCCTTTGCACTTTTCTGTGTCTTAGCCCTGCCTTTTGGCATGCTCCAGCAGAAACTTGGTGTGAATTAGTATTCCTTTCTAAAAATTATTTCTATTCCAATTTAGAAATAATTTTGTTTTAAATTCCAAAAGGTGTTAAACTATTTATTGACTATATTTAGATAAGTTTAGAGATGGAAGGAGCTTCTTAAATGGCCACATAATGTGAATAAGAAAATTTGTGAGTGTTACAGGACTGAAAAGCATGAAGGTAGCAAATAATGCATATTAAATTAACATTTTTTACATGTGTTCTTATGTGAGAGAGTCTGTGATATTAAATGTCTAATGAAGTTGTTGACACGTTTTTTGTGAACAGGACAAAGAAACTGTCAGATGCAATAAAATTATTACATAAATGCTGTTTCTTGAGACTACATTGATTTCTCACATCACATTATATTCCACATTCCTATCATTCATAAATCTAAAATGATCATGTCATCAACCAGTAAAAAAGGTAATAAAGGTAAAAACTACTTTTTTTGTTAAAAGCAATGTGTCTTATGTTCCAAAGTGTAAAATGATAATGTTAAAAAAACATTATTATTTTACATTTTTTAATATAATACACATTGCTTTATGTGTATTTTAGATATGTAGAATGGGCCCAGGGCGTTCAATACTTAATGAATAAAGACTGATATAAGGGTAACACTATTTTTCAGGGCATTATCATTTGCTGAAGCCCGAGGTCTACCGTTTTTATAGCAAAAATGGATGGAATTTGTTATCAAATAAAAAGAAACAACAATATCGGTTTTGAAACATTTACTGCAATCAACACAAATGTCACTGTCCCACTTTTACAAATATGGAAACGTCATTGAACAAACTAGATGACGTCACTATTGAACGTGACGTCACCTATTCCTATCCTATGACGTCACCTAACAACGGGCGTGATAACGGCCCGTCGGCAAGCAATATGAGAGTATTATCAAGTTACAGTGGCCCGCTCATTCCTGATAACATGCGGGCGGTTTACCCTCATGGTGGCTGGACGTCAGTCAGCCTGCAAACCGCTCAGTGCCGCACTGTGCTGACGTCGCGGTTACAAAAACGTATACATTGTATCAAAAGTGTTGCAGCCTTTTTATTTCTTCACACAGTGTAACCAAATTGTATAACATGCAACTCGAGTTGATTGTCTTTCCAACAGTATCTAAAGTCACCAAATCCAAAAGATCTATGCACTGCCCAGCCATCGATAAAAGTGCTGGTATTATAAGTTTCCTACTTTTCCACATTAATCTTAATATGGACGCACCCGGATATGGCAAGCAAAGTCAAGTAAGCGCCCTTGTTTGAAATCTAAATGATCAATAATTCATATCATTTGCAAGTACATGTTCTAACAGTGATAGACATATGATATTTATGTTGAAGTACACATTCACTGAGAATTGTCCGTGAGTTATATTTACCGATAAAAAATCCCGATGAAATTGTGCGTGTTTTTGACGTCAAAACAAAATTGACGGAAGTGGTCGTGATTAATTCATACGCAGACTGTTTCAAAGATTATGTCACAAAACGAATGACAGTTTGGAATGTATATCTTGAAGAAATCCCGGTTACGTCCATGTATGTTTCAGTGACCGTGCTCTTCTATTAGTGATAAAAACAACTTCGGGGTAATTGACATCGTACATTTTCAAAGGACAAAATGTGAAAGATCGCTAAACAGCCCTAACAATACTAAAATTGACATCGCTCAATATCGGGCATCATTATTATTTCTTAATAATTAACAAGATTCCAAACGTAACACTACCCATGAGTAAGTACTTGTAGATTCAATCAAAATTGTTGAAACGTTTTCATGGGCAGCAATCCATTCAACAAACCTATCCATAAAATCCAAGATATGTAAAAGTTAAATTGACACAGGTTCCATATGGTACACAGGGAACAGTAGATTTACAAGGTGTCAGGTCAGCTGTTCTTAATATCTAGTAATGCCACCATTAGAGTCCAAAACTGACTGTCATGGTCGTCCCATGGAGGCAATCAGATCCCGAATAGTTGTCTGAGGAACGTTCAGGCACTCTGGCTGCAGTGCTTGTGCCAACCGTCGGAGGTTCTGTGGTTATTGCTGACGTGCTCGCAGTCGTTGATCCAGTGCATCCCATAAATGTTCGACAGGGTTAAGTTGGAGACATGACAGGACCAGGATGTTGCGGTTCCCGAAAAAGGCTGATGTCAGTCTTGCCGTGTGAGGTTGGGCATTGCCGTGTGAGGTCGGGTGTTGTGTTGGAAAATGGCGTTCACTAAACTTGTTGCAAAATGGGAAGGACGTGTGGCCGAAAATTTTCATCCGTGTGACGTTGTGCCGTTAAACTCTCCAGAACTTGCCCCAAGTCTGTTCTAGCAGTTTAGGAGATGGCTGCCCACTCATCACACTACCAAATCTGTCCACTTCCTGTATACATGCAGTTTCGTGCATAACGTTGTAAACACGTGGGGTTTATAGCTCAAACGGCACCGATTGGCGAAAACGTCACCTCGCAAAAGAAACGCAAGTGGTTTTAAGCAAATAGGTAACAAACACGGAACCATAAATTGATTCGAGTTTGAGCATGTAGTGAAGCCTGGTTGCATTTTGGAAGCCCCGAGTAAAAACGCAATATAAAAAACGAATCGCCAAAACGCACCATTTCAATGAATATGTGGGTATCATGCACCCATTTCTCGCGAAATCGAAAATGCACGAACTGTCACGAACTGTAGTGGGTATAAAACTATGGCCGATTCTTGGACCTACCACTCCTTGGTCAACAATGCCACGCCTAACTCAAATTCAGGGAAACCAGGCTATCGGACGTTTGGAAGCTGGAGAGTCTGTCTAAGATGTTGCCCGTCATTTCAACGTTAACATAACCACAATTTACTGTCTCCTGCATCGATATAATGCTACACAGACCACAGATGACCTTCCTCGGAGCGGTCGTCCTAGGGTCACCACACCTCGACAAGATCAGCAGATAGCCCGTCAACACCAGCGACATCCGTTCCTAACTGCAAGTGAAAGTGCTCGACAGACCATAGGAACACATAATCGACACATTAGCCGGGACATTGTGATCCGACGTCTCCGTTCCAACAACCTCAGATGTCGCCGACAAGCACGTCGTCCTGTTCTCCAACCACGTCATCGACTCGCGCGACTTCAGTGGGCACAGGGTCATCACAATTGGCGTCATCGTGAGTGGAGGCGTGTCATCTTCTCTGATGAAAGTCGCTTTTGTGTCTCCCATGCAGACGGAAGAGTCAGAATTTGGCGGAGTCGAGGTGATCGTTTCGCTGACAGAAACGTTGTGGAAAGGGATCCATGGGGTGGACCTAGCGTCATGATATGGGCAGGGATTGGACTTAAGGCGAGACTTGGACCCATGTGCTTTCTGAATGTTGGTCAAGGTCGGGAACACGGCGTCACTGCTCAGCGGTTATCGACCAAGTGATCAGACCCCACGTTGTTCCATTTTTTGCACAACATCAACAACACATTTTCCAGCAGGACAACGCTCGTCCCCATGTTGCCAGAGCTACCATGGCCTTTCTGCAACAACACAACATCCGTGTTCTACCTTGGCCAGCCCTCAGCCCTGATCTGAACCCCATCGAACACTTGTGGGATGAGGTTCAAAGGCGTCTGCACAATGTCCGCCCAGTCCCTACAACTGCCGATGAACTACGCACAGCTGCTCTGGATGTGTGCAGGAGGATCCCTAGGATAGGGTCTTCACAAATCGTCTGATCCACTCAGGAGATGTGTGGCAGTGATCAATGCTAATGGTGGTCACACCAGGTATTGACTGACATTTTGGGTATTGACACTACTGTGTAAGCCCTTAACATTTGAAAAAAAATAAAAATTATGTCATCTGCCTTTTAATCCATTAAACTGTCTTCAGTCAAACTTTTGTCAATCTTACCCTATTAGTATTTCTTGTCTTTACTGTTGAAAATAAATAACATGTATACTGCATACTCGACTCGCGTTTCTTTCGCGTGTGAGTATATAATCCAAACTTTCATTCGTATTGTAACATTATCTTTGAAATAGTCTGTGTTTGAACTTATCCCGACCAAATCCGTCAATTTTATTTTGACAAAAACACATAACGGGATTTTTTATTGGCCATAAATGTCATATGTCTGTCATCGTTGTACTTAACAATAAATTGTCAAATGTTACAAATAAAAAATGAATATTTCATATAAATGTCATAAATTACATATACGAATAATGAATTCAAAATACAAATCAAGCCAAAGAACAACTTGCAAACAAAAGAAGCAAAGAATGAATGTGTACTAAAGAACGTCGGTGCACACAAAAAGGACACTAAACTGCTGAAGGACAGCGTTAACTTGACATGTAAATGTTTGAGACTTCTTGAAATGAAGCGTTATGAATATTTCACAATAATATTATGAAGGAGACCTCTAATATGGCTACACTTCATTCTTATATCGGCGAACATGCGGCAGGATCCGGCGATACCAAACATGACTCGAATTGCACATTCATGCGACAGAAAATCAGCTCAACGTATGCGTCTCGCACAAAGTATTCTCTCCTACAAATGTAGGGAATATTCGAAAATACAGGTGAATACAGAAAAACAACGAGGCATCGAGTGATTGTGATGGTAAGATAAGAATAAGGGAGCACCAGAACATGTTGGCGGTGTATTGTATACGATCTGGTCAGAATCAATCTATCAACGACAATTTGAGGGAATCTTCTTGACCACTACTGGCCTAATTGACGTCGGCGGACACGTCTCCGGATTATGTCCCAGACGTGCTCTATGAGGGGAAAGACCCCGTATCATGGCTGGCCATTGCATTCTGGTTATGTTTTGCTGCTGACTGTAGCCATTTGAGGTACATGCTTACGATGGGCACGAGCGTTAGCGTCTTGAAAGACAAACCGTGAACCAGCAGTCACAGTGAAGCTGGATCTGTCAATCATAGTGATCCCGCCCTCTATCAATACAGACCCAAACCCAAATTTATCCTGTTACCTTACGTGGAGGTTCGTTAGAACGTCTCCAGACACGCCCACACCTATCCAGACACGTCCAGGGTGAATCTGTATTCATCTGAAACATCACACGTGACCATCGGCTTTCCCGCCAAGTGTCTACGCTCTGAACACCACAGGAGTCTGCCTAGAATGTGTCGATTTGTTAAGATTGGTACAGCACGTGGTACCGAGCATGCAGACGATGTTTAATCGTCTGGTCAGTGACTTGAACTCCAGTGGCCTGGCGCAAGTGAACAGCGAGTTGTTGGGTGTTTGCGCTCGATTTCCTGAAGCCTGGTTTCTGATCCTGCGTGAACTTGTGTTGTGAACTAGAGTGCCATGTGCAGGGCCAAGCATTATTTGCTGCAGAAACCTGTTCTAAATTCTGCAAATCACAGACTGAGACGTAGACGACGCATTTCCAATCTGATCACACATACTGCATTAAAGCGATAGTGGAGAACTTACGTATTACTGTCGATTCTGAAATAAACTAAGCGGCAAAAGAAAATATAGGTTGGCAATTTGTAACTTTCCTAAAAACAGCGATAACTAGTGGAAAGTGGGTATTGGGAATATGACTGCCCA